TATGACTTCTGTATTAGAATCTTCACCTCCTATCCTAATTTTGGTCATAGTGTATGAGAAGAAAAAGATAACAAAGGTCCACTCTCCCAGGAGTAGGTCTCTCAGGAACGTTTAGGTTTATGATCAGTTTATTGATGATAGAGATGTAGGGATAATGACTCAGCTAGTGATGTAGAGAGCAGGTAAGGAAAACTAAAATTGTGTTTCTTCTTTTTGACTTTGACTTCCTGAATGTTGCTCAAATTAAACTTGATAGTTGTCCAGTTCTACCAGCCTTAGGATGATCATATTTGCTTTCTCTTCCAATGTGTTAAACTTTGATCTCTGTTTTATAAATGTTATGTATATTTTATCAAGACTTGGGGGTAAGGGAGGAAAGAGACAGGATATACTGTTTTGTTGTTTATTCCTAGGATGGCATTCACTACAGGGATTTGAAATTGACCAGGTGTGTGGATTTAGTTTTTGCTACTTTGTGTTTCTTGGAAAGGGACATCATGCTTGGAGAGGTGGAGGGTCAGTGAAGGAGAGGAGGACCCTCCATGAGATGGATTGATAAAGTCAGTGTTATAGTGAGCTCGAGTATGCCAGAGATGATGAGGATGGCACAGAATAGGGTTCAGGACTATTGTTCATTGGTTCACTGTGAGTTGTACTTGACTTGACAGCATCTCACATTTACCACTACAACAACTTTTTTTTTAATATGAGTATATTTTATTATTTTGCTTTTTTGATATTTTAATGAAAGTTTACCAAGAAAACTTGGATTTCCATTCATTCACTATTGCATGTTTTCCTCCCTTCCCAGTTAACCTTTCTCTTTAAAAAAATTCTTTAATTGTTGCACAATTCCCCCACCCCCCACAGTCAACTTTGCTATGCACTTCTTATTCTAGATAACAACTTTGAAGGATAAGAGAAGGACTTTGAATAAGTCTTAAGTGTCAGGGCAGAGCTTGTATCAATATTGTTGTCAAGCCTAGCCTTCCATTTCTTCATCTACATTTAAGATATCTTCTCTTTATTATCAGTTTGCCTGCATTTCTTTTTGTGAGGATAGGATATATACATACAATATTCCTGTCAAGATAATAAAGAACAGTGCCCTGTGTTGTATCTGTAAATACAGATCAGAGATACCTATCAGGTCCCTAAGCCACACCTTTAATTAAATAAGCAGCCCTGCAGCAAATCATTAGCACCAGACCTGGTGTATGCATTTTTATCTTGGGACAGCTCAATTTAAGGGTAACAAACCTCAACAAAATTGGAATTGGGGCAAAACAAGGCATAGTATGAGAAACAGTGTTCTCACAACAGATTTTTGTCTGATAAACTTTAGAGATATGAGACTTAGTTACTTGTTAACTCTGCATTAACAGCTATTCTGATTTATTCTGAGCATTGAAAGTGTGTGATTTACCTTCTTTTTTATACTTTCTCTGCACTTTGCGTCCCTATGGGGCATTGCTGCCACATATTGAGTTGATCCATCGTGGGTGAGAGGAGCAAACAAACCTATAAGGTTAGATTCAGCCTTGTCAAGCAAAGAAATATACAGAAAATGATTTTAGATGTTTCTGCACTGGAAGTTCCGAGGATTGTGGTTTCCTATGTCCTGGGATACAGTGAAACTCAGTCACATCCAGCAATAGAAATCTGCTCATGTCTTACTTTGCTTAGTGTCAACAATTTGAAACTCTCCTCTGTTTGAGTTTGCAAAAAAGGAAAATCTTTGGGAACGGAATCTCCATAGAGCTGTAGTGTTTACAACAGAGTTCTGGTGGCCTAGTCTGTAGGGAGTTGTGCTTCTAACACAAAGATCATACCCATCTGGCTGTTCATATCCAACATTGGTTCTGTGGAGAAAGATGGGCAATCTCTTCCTTTTTGATTTACAGCCTTGGAAACCAAATGAAGGGTCAGCTGAACTGGTTTTGACATGATGGCTTTGAATTCTAGTATTTAGTTGACTTAGGGTAGCTGTGCACGGAAATGACCAGAAGGTGTGGAGAGATTGAAGGCTGACGCTGTGTCATTGTGGATAGAGAGACAAGAAAGCTGTTTATTTCTTGTTGAACACTGACCTCTGGCCAACAAAGACTCTGCTGGACAACACAATACCAAGCCATCATTGCTATTTCTTGGGGGAATGAGCTTCTAGCCCTGTGAGTACTGTGGGTTCTTTCCCTTTCAGTTAATTTTCCCCATTGTTTTGTTTTGGTGTACAACATCACCAACTTATGGGATATTTGATAGGATACTAAAATAAACTAAACTACAATGAAATCTGTACAAATTTTTGCTTGATGGGTTTGCCTTATCTTTCTGTCCAGTTCTTGTGTATCTTCTACTTTTGACAAGGGCACAGTCTTCCCACTTTTCTATCATTTGTTTTAGTGGAAAAACACCTGCATTTTCCTTCTTGGAAAGGTTTCCACCTCAAACAAGCACCAGTTTACAGTATTTTTTTGTTTTGTTTTGAAAGTAGCCCATATCTTAATCTATTAGAAGTAAGGCTAGCTGTCTACTTTTCTTTTTCTTTTAAATTTTTTTGAAAATCCCTTTCAGTTTTGAGGCACCATGTCTCAAAAAGCAGAGTGGTCTATGTTCATTAAAATTAATGAAATAAAATAAAAAAATAATAATTAAAAAATGCAATTTTTTAAAAAAAAAACCCACAGAATGAGAGGTTGAGATCCCTCAAGCGCATCAATCTGTTGCAGAGCGTTACAATCTTGCAGTGTTGTTGCTGTGTACCATTGAGTAGAGACCAACTCACAGCAGCATTATGACATCAAGTAGAAGAACTGCATCCGCAGGGATTCATAAGATGTCATCTTTCTGGTGGCAGATCTCTAGGTCTTTTTTTCCTTTGAATATCTGTATGGGTTCAAACTACTGACTTTGGATTATCAGTTGAAAGCTTAACGATGGTTTCATTAGGGGTCCCTCATATCTATAATAGGTGCCTTCCATGAGGTAGCCACAGTTGAAGCCTAAATAAAATTTCACCTTGACAGGCAATTTGTCTATTGCAAAGCCGTGTGGCTGCTGTGCTAGTGACTTACTGCTGCTCTTAGAAACCAGGGAACTGCAGCAATCTTGCACACAAGGGGAAAGGAACCACTTGTTGGGCTCAGTTGGCCTCTTGAATCTCTTGAGGAGAGAATAAACAGAGTCATGTGATGCATATTTGAAGGGAGATTTACAATGCATTCCATTTCCATGATAAGAGACAGCTATTTAAAAATTAAATAAAATTCATTACAGATTTTTGCTAAGATTATTGCCTTGGTCAATTGCTCTCTAATTTTGTAATTTAGAGATAGCGTAGTTTTTAACTTCTGTGAATAAGATCTGGGTGTATTCCTTAATTATATTAAAAAGAAAAAGGAGCTCTGTGTGTGCAATGGTTAAGAACTTGGCCACCAACTGACAGGTTGGTGGTTCACGAGCTTGGCTTCTAACCTAAAGGTTCAAACACATCTGCTCTGCAAGAGAAAGATGTGGCAGTCTGGTTTAAGAATTAGAGCTTGTCTGCCAGAGAAGGAGGGACAATTTCCTCCTGTACCTGTCAGATCTGATTTGACGGTACATGCACAAAAAAAAAGAAAAAAGAAAAAAGAAAAAAAAAGAACAGAAAAAAAAAAAAGAATTACAGCTTGGAAAACCTGTGAAGTAGTTCAATTTCTTCATTGCATTAAAAAAAAAAAGGAAAACTCTACATGATAATATTGTGATTGCATCAATGTGTTTGGTTTTTGCACATAAAAAATTTGACAGCAGTCTCTTTAAAAGGTACAGAGTTTTAACAGGGACAGTTTTTAGAATAGACTTTACTGTCACACTTAAAGAAGACTGTACAAGAAATAATCTTTATTACAGACTTAGCCTCAAAATGGGACTGAAGACTGACATAGAGCCACTGTAAACACACTTAATAACAAAACCCAAGGAGGATGTCATGTTTGTGAGAAGAAGGGTGTTGAAAGATCATGTAAAGAAGAAATTGGAAATATTTTTGAAAACTCTCTAACTTAAAAAGCACACCTGCACCACCTGCTGGGATAATTATTGATTGGCTGGCAGTTTGAACATTGCTGAATATTTTTATGCAGTTAAGCATAAATATGTGGACACTTGTCTCACAGGACTTTTTCCAAGGAGTCTCTGGTAGTATTAGTGAACTTGACTGCCACCCAAAAAGTTGAGTTTACCCAGAGGTTTCTCAGAAGAAAGTCTTAGTAGTCAACTTCCAAAAACTCAATCATTCAAAACTTCCTATGCTAACTCTGGCACCCATGTTTTGGGCTGTTTTTTTTTTTTGGTTTGTTTGTTTGTTTTTCTTTTTTTAAAGCCCTATGAAAGAAGTTACTCATATATATGGTTAAGGAAATGATGATGTGGAGAAATTTTAAGTAGTAAGAGTAAATAACAACTAAATGGCACCAATTCTCCTGACCTCTGGGCCTTCCCTCTTTCTATGATCTTCATCTAAACTTTAAATTTTTAGTACTTAATCCAGTTTGCAGTTTCCTATATATGCTACCATTTAATTGTCTCTTTCCTTTCACTCATTGCCAACTAGTCTGAATCAACCCATAGCAGACCCTTTGGAGGATTTTCAAATGTAAATGGCACAGGAGAAGATTACCTATCCTTCTATCATGGGGCTGCTGTTGGATTTGAACAGCCAGAGAGGAGATGTCATTTTTGGATTAGCTATGCAACGTTTATGATCTCCGCTTTACTCTCTGTAATAGTAGAGATAGTATTTCTCTTAATAGTATGTCTCTCAATAGTACGTCTCTTAATCATCAACATACACTCAACGTTTAGTGCCAGGCATATAATAGTTACTAAATATATATGTATATATATGTGTATATATGTATATATGTATATATGTATATATGTATATATATATAATATTTTACTCAAGAAATGAGTTAATTTAAGATTTGCTTTTTTCATTCTTAATTTTTTAAAAATAGATTACCCAACATGTGAGCAGTTGACTTGTGACAATGGAGCCTGCTATAATAATACTCAGAAGTGTGATGGGACAGTGGATTGCAGGGACAACTCTGATGAAGTCAACTGCAGTAAGTATCATGTGTGTCTGCAGTGGTGTGCTAATGCTGGGTTATACTAGCTCAGAGCCCAACTTATGCACATCTCTTTTCAATTCCGTAAATTCCAAGTTCAGTAAATGTAATCATGAAGATCTACACCCCAGAAATCAGCAAATATTACACATTAGGACTTTTTTAATTTTTGCTTTGTTTTGGAGTACTATTTATTAAACCTTTACCAGTACAACCATGTACAAAGAAATACATAATTTGAGGTAGTCTCTTTCTTTGAGCTTAAATGCCTACAGCTCTTTTCTGTTTGACGGAAACATCGTAATTGAAATGTCCTTTCTTTTCCCATGGTTTCCTAGCTCACATGTGTGGTCACTCTGAGTTCCAGTGCAACAATGGGGCGTGTATTCCTCAAACATTTGTCTGTGACCGTAATGATGACTGTGGAGACAACAGCGATGAACATTCTTGCAGTACGGTGATTTCCTTATCCTGGGTCATGTTATTACAAGTTTATTTTTTTAAAACCACTCCACTACTCTTTTCGACAAAAGGGACTGATGGAACCAGAACATCACTTAGAGTCCATGGCAGGTCTTAGCAATTTTGCTGGACCTGAACAATTTTATCTTCCTTTATCAACTCAAGGATCTGTGTGGAGTTGAAGGGTTGATAATGGACGGTTTGCATTTTTTCCTTAGACTACAAGAGTACAGAGTATCCTATATCACTGGATCCACAGTACCCTGGCCTTACAAATGAGACCATTATCTCACAAGCAGATACTACTCTATTATCTCAATAATAGAATGAGACAAGGCCTTGAAAAGAGAGACTAGAAGATTCTTATTGACATTGGTTCTACCTCTCCTCTTTGCTTTGATATTCTTACTGTATTAAAGTGTCAGGAGAATTTTACTCTAATCCTGCTTTCCCACACTTATTTTGAATAGTTGGTGCCCATGTCGAGGTAGTATTGAGGAATATTTCTCAAATTTCTAGTAAACAACCTGATTTCCTTTCTGGTACCTGGACTTATTTAAATTACTGTATTAAAGAGAGTATGATGTTATGGAATTGGTGACTAAGAATTATCTGATCCGTAGCAAATTTAGTTCTGTGGTAAAGGAAGAGATTACTGGACAACTGACATGTCTGTCTGTAGCATCTTTACTCTTTGTTCAGTGTCAACCTGTAGTACTGGACATGGAATGAATTCCCTGGATCTAAAGCTGTGTTTATCCCTTCCCTCTTTCTCTTCCTCCTTTTTTTGTATCAGATGCTTGCGGTTCACTGATCTAGCATTTTCAGTATATATAGAGGCTCAGTTCAGACACTGAAGTGAAATGTTAGTGATTTATGTCTTTTGTTGTTTTTCTTCTAGTATATGAGACCTGCAAAAGCAATGAGTTCACCTGTCCAAATGGTAGATGCATTGATCACAATTGGGTGTGTGATGGAGATGATGATTGCAGAGATAATGGAGATGAAGATGGATGCGGTAAATGTTTCCACAACGTGTTTATCTTCCTTTCTTTCTTAGAAATTGTTAAAAACCAGTTAGATGACTTCACTATCTCTCATGCCTACCTAACTCCATTTTACCACCCCTTAGAATTTCATTAAAAGGCAATTGTTAGTAGACTGTAATTCTCTTTTTGTTTCCAGAAAGCAGTCTTAGTCGAAAATGCTATCCAAGAGAATGGGCTTGTCCGCGTTCTGGACATTGCATCTCAGTTGACAAAGTCTGTGATGGGACTCCAGATTGTCCATCAGGAGAAGATGAAAACAATGTCACTGCAGGAAGAACTTGTGGTTAGTAGGCTTCATTCTTAAAGATGTTTTCCCCAGTACATCTGTCTTGTTAGGAATAAAATGTGTTACTATGATGCTGTTGTTGCTATGTACCTTTGAGTTGCCTGTGACTCA